CACTCACACAGCGACCGCAGGGACGGGGCTTCCCCAGCACGCGGCAGGCCCCCAGGCTGCGCTCACCGGTGCCCGTGGGAGCACCGGCTCTTCTGGGAGGCCCAGGGCGGCCAGTGCCTCTATGCACTTCCTCCTGGCGCTGGCGGGGTGGCCTCCTGCTCGCGCGCTGACCGCCCGCCTGCGTGAGGCGCGGGCCCAGAGCGTGGGGGACAACCGAGCTCATCGTGCGATCAGCAGCTGGAACCACAAGTGCCTGGACCTGTAGGAGCGCCTCAGCAGCAAACAAGGCCCCAGCCAGGCCCTGCTGTTGGGCGAGCTCTCCTGCCCCTAGGTCAGAGGTTGCTGTAACACAGCATTGTGTGAGGTTATTCCTCAAGCCCTTTACTAAACTGGTAATAAATAAAACCAGTGATATTCCCATCAACACTCCTTAAGGCACATAGTATATGAGTCCTTTCCATTCGTCTAATCTCATCCCACCACTGTCCCAAGCAGCCCACCCAGTTGCTGGTGCTTAGAGATGGGCAGTGACTATTGAGCCATGACCAAAGTCAAAAAAATAGGCCTTGAGAGAGAGAGAGAGTCTCAGACCCTAGTTCTGCATGCTTTAACGAGACTCTGTGGCCTCTGTGATAAGCACAAAATGGGTCTGGGGAGCCTTGAGCTCTAGGAGAGTGGGTTTCTCCATTAGTGAGGCACAGGCGTAGCTGCAGTAGGGCTCACCTCGCTCTTTCCAGCCAGCCTGCAATCCAGGAAGGTGGATCAGCGAGCGGAAAGACGCTCTCTGCGGGAAAGGCTCCGGTGATACTGGCTGCAACTCCTCCTGCAGGTCTGATGCAATGCAACTGCAGTAGCAGAGAGCTGCAGATTATAGACAAATTATTATACAGCCTAATTCTATTGAATTTAGTTTCAGAGTAATGTTGTCAATATCCTTCCCCTTTCCTTCTTCCAGAATTTTTTTTTTTTGCTTACTCATGGTGACAAGGAATGAAGTATGGTGAAAACCACATAGTCACATAACAGGCTGTCACGATGATTTTATTCTGACATTCAGCCGTTCTGATTTATGCTTTCCCTCGTGACAAGCTTAGCACTATGCCACTCACAAGGACGGGCTGTCAGCCTTTGCACCTGTTCCCAGACACACTTCTCCTCATTATCCGAATGTGTCATTTGGCCCAAACATCCACACGATAAGTAGTTTTGGTCAGAGAATGACACAGTGGCATCATGACCAGAAATGTAACTCTGCATCACAGCACTCATAATCGGTGGCAACTTGATGGCTTTTCAAAATAGCGGGGCCAAGAAATCCATGGTCAAAAGCAAGTAAAACGATAGCTTAGGAAGTGAGGAGACTAACAATCGGTGCATTAAAAAAACGACACATATCAAACACTTAATATGCGCTGGTAAGCATGCAGATTTGCACAGCCTGTCAGGATGATTTCCAAAACAAATTTTTTTTTTGGAAAAAAAAAAAGCCACATGAAAGCAAAAGCTCTTGGCAACATAGGAGCTTTTAAATACATTCTGCAATAGTGACCATTACTAATGGAACACTTTACAGAGAATAGAAGCCCCGCACTTTTGAACTAGCACATATCTAGAACACGACTGCTTCCAGGGTTAGTAACTTAATTCGGCTTCAGTGGAAAGGAGGACCTAGGACAAATGGCAGGTGGGTGGCAGTAGGATAGTAACGTTTCCAGCAACTGGAAATCCTGCACACTTAGGGTTCAGCTCAGTACGTCCTCAGCTAGCATTTGCAAAGCTAGTGGTAATGTGGAGTTGCAAGATTTAGCATCGATTAAAAGGGTTTTGCAGTTGCTCCTACCGACACAGTAGACAGCAGCACCCAAGGAAGGGCCTTTTCAAGAGCCTGTTCCTTGGCACACAGCGCTTGGAGCGTCAGTGCTGACCCACCGGCCACGGCAAAACACCCCGAACCTGCCCCATGGGAAGGGCCTGGTGACGCTCCCTCCTTTCAGCCTCCAGCCAGACTCGTGATCCCCTGCACAGGGACCGCCAAGGGGCCACGGGGGACCCTCGGGAAGACCTTGGCCACCAGGAAATGTTCTTGATGATGGCTCATCTCCAGAACAAAAATCTCTAGTAGGTTTATTAATTTTCTTTCCCCAAACATGACTGAATAGCCTACCAGTTCTTTCCCTGGAGACAGTAACAAAATTTAGCTATTTTTAATGATCGAAAGGTAAAGAGTAGATGGAAAATGTCATCCCTAGGATAGCAATAAAACCAATGGGATATGAGCCCCGGGCAAATGAAAATAGGTGGGTAGTTAGGTGAGGATAGGACCTAGACAATTTTCTTCCATATAGAGGTCCCTTGCTCTGTCTCTGGCTTCCTCTTGCAACATTTTTTGGCACTTTTGGTTTTTTTTTAATTACTCATGTTCTCCATGTCAGTCTGCATGCACCAGCTTCACAGTTTGCCTCCAGGATAGATACCCCTTTTATACAAATTGCTGCACAACAATCTTTCTTCTTCTAATCTGGATTCTTGTCTTTAACCATTCTGATCTTATGTGTTGGTACGATTGCTGTTTCACATGAAGGCAGAAAACTGGTAGCATATGGAGCTTATCATCTTCATCAGTGCTGCTGATAACTAACAATGACAGTTTTTCATTAATTTCCTCAAATACAGGAATAGTTATTTTATAAAGACAAGATAAATGCTATGCCACTATTATTTTATTTGCTATAATCAGTCAGCATCTGAAACAAAAATGCACACACTTTAGAATGCTTTTTCTACAGAAATAATCAATACATTGCTAAGCTACAATCAATACCAAGGTTGGGTAACACACTCCAGCATCAATGGTCCCTCCTTCAGTTGAGGAAGAGTAACTAAAGGATGCATAATCTTGCCAAATGCAAACATGATTTTGCACAGTATGCATAAACACATAATGCTAAAGAAAATTCTCCCCACTTCACAGTGCAGGCAGCGAAAAGCTGTTTTTTTATTTTTTAAATTTAAGTTTAAAATAACAAATATTCACCTACATCACAGTAGATTTAGTTTACCACTTCTGCTTTGAATTCTGTGCTTTCATTTCAAGTGTCTATATTTCGCAACTGTACACACACTGCAAAATTACCTTGGAATATCATTTAGCATCTGTGCATAGCCATTTCTTTAGAGCTTAATGCTACACTGAAATTAAGTCTAGAATTCTTAAGTATTGGAAACAATCAATAAAACTCCCCTGAAAAAAAAAAACAGTATAAATGTTTCTTGTAGTACAGTACTTTTAATCTTATGTCAGTCACTTTAATGACATAGTTTTCAGTTATTCCTCATATAAAGAGAAGACTAGGAAAAAAAAATATTATCTAAAATGTCATTCCTAAGTCAGTTAAACTCTGAGTTATGGTATATGTACAGTATATAAATATACTTATGTAATATGTACATATATATTGGCTAACATTCATTATAAATAGAACTGTCTTAACTTAAGCAGTATAAAAATAGCCACTTTCCTGGGAACATGCAAACACAGTATGCTTTCACTTAATCTAAAACATCCAAAATAACCAAAACCTTTAGCTCTGGTTCTTACAAATATAAATTTTAATTGAAGACTTTTAGCTGATTTAATCCTAAAGTTTTTTTTTGTGTGTGTGTGTGTAAAGATATAAAGTCTGTTCAATGCTAGCTATAATTAAGCTCAAATACAGTATATTTCGGGTAATTTATTTTCAGGTATTTTTCCCATGTGAGCTAAATCTAGATGCATTGCATTTCTTTGTTTTGCTTTTACATTAGACTATCGATGATCAGCTCTAAACACTAAAAGCCAAACTACAGGCAATCTGGCATGCTCGCACTGCAGGAAAAGGCTCTCCTCTACACTGTTCGTATGTGGGAGGCTGCCCTAATATGGCTATTTGTGCTCCAGATCCTTCGCCCATTGCAAAGCAATTAGCAAAATACCCATTTTGTAAATTCTTAAGGCCAGAAGAGAGTACTATGACTACTTAGTCTCACCTCCTGCTCACTGAAATTCAGGCTGATATCCCTGCATTCAGCACAGTGACTGGTACCTGGACTAAAATGCTTCTCTATTACAGCCAAAGAGATTCCATCTCCAGAAGTTGAGTGGGGTCTTGGCTTCTTAGTGACTTTTCCCAAGGGGAAAAAAATTCGGTTCCATCTGAACCAAATGTGACATTTTTCCTTTTTTCTTGCCATATGAAAAACTGAAAAATTGCTTGTTTTGCCCAAAACATTCTATTCTCCTCCAAACAAGGCGCACTGAGCACTTGTCAGAAAAGCAAAAGAAGTCAAAGGGCTACCTATGTGAATGAAGTTGACAGGATTTCTGTTTCTCCATTTATCTAACAGCTTGGTAGAGAACACACAGTGGGTCGCACTGTGGAAGAAATAGAGCTGAGCCCTTCCTCTGCGCAATGGATTTCATCCCCCTCCCAGGAGAATGCCTTAAGGAGGTGACTATGCTGAGTACAGCATGTACTGAAATTCAGTCTTCTTGCTCATACTGTTCCACTTAAGTAAAATACTCTTATCTTTTGCAGAGGAGAGGACTGAAGTGCAGCTCTCTCCCTTCCCTAAAACCCTGTCTCATGCAGGACTTCAAGCTAGTCCTACTACCTTTGGGTTTATGGAAGTGTTTCACCCAAAGCAGAAGAGCAGCAGCAAGAAGACCCAAGGCAAACTCTCTTTAGGCCAGCTTTATTCTTGTGATCAGGGGATCTTTAAAGGAAGCATAAAATGGGAATGCAAATGCCCTGAGCAGAGGAGGAAACTGGGCCTTGCTTTTTAATTACCACTGTTTGCGCTTGGATGTCATTGGGTAGCAGAGGGATGATCTAGACACTTCCCTCCAGCAGAGTGGTAGGTATTGCTCTGGACACGTTTGCCAGATGAGGATAGTGGTTGTGTTTGGATTAAATGCGTGACTACTTCAGAGACAGAAGCACCTCTCACCATTTTAGCCAGTTCCAAGACAGGGCACACAACCAAATAAATTAGATGTCAGTGAAGCCCAGCTACCTAAATACGTTGTACAAGGTCGCTGGTGCAAGCCCTTCTCTCTGGCACTTTTGAAAGCAGTACAATTAACTCCTCATGCAAAACGGCCTAAGTTCCCAGCCACATCCTACACTGTTTCTCCCTATTCTCCCAGGGTGGCTCCCACAGTTCTCCTAAGAGTCCTTCCTATGTTGGAAGTGATGAATCCTTGTTAAAATAGCACAGTCTTCCAGCTTTTATACTTGTGTAAAAGAGGCATTCTATTTCTTATGGTAAGTAGCATATATGCACCAAAACAATAGATTAGATGCCCCTGTATTAATTGTTTATTGAGCTGTCATTGGAGGTTGGGGACTGAGAAGTCACAAAAGGCTCGTTTGCCTTCTGATCCTCCTTCATGGAGGTCGCCTGGTCTGAGATGGAAGAGAAGGAGAGCTGGTCATGTTCCATTATGTGCACTTGGTCCTCTTCCTTGTCCTTCTTCACATAAAACAATTTCCTAAACTTTTTGAGCTCATGGAGTTCACAGAAAGTCTCGAGAACCACCAACATTGCGATAAGCCCCAGCAACAGATAACCTAGAAATGAAAAGCAATGCTTTAATTGTTAGCAAAACAGGGATGAAACAATTTAAAACATGTAGCTTTTCTCATGCTTATCTTTTCTGAACAGTATCTTGATCTTCATGACACATTTTCAGAATTTTTTACCCACTTTGGACTGTCAAATCTTTTCCTGCCTTTTTCACTCTACAGCAAGACCCCAGAAATTAAAAAATGATAGTAATAAAAAAGTGAGTTTAGTACTGTACGTGAGAAAAATATGTAATGGCATTCATTCAACCATAGTACTAGAATTTTATCTCCTATCTCACAATCATGTGTTTATGAACTTCGTGATTATGTGCTCTTCAATTATTACTTCATGTTTGAAACAGAAGTAAAAACATGGCAACTAAATGTAGTTATTTGTTGTTTGTATCAGTTTAGCAAGACAGATCACTTGTTTTTGAATATTTTTGGAGTATTTTCCTTTAAAATTATAGAAATAAAATTGACACTGAAATAAGTGGGAAAATAAAGAATGTAGAAACATGTACAAAAAAGCACTAAAAACAAAATTTAAAATTAATGTAAAATTACTGGTGATGTTTCTAAAAACCTGACAAAGTTTCTACATCTGACGAAACCTTGAAGACCACTTGCAAAATTTTACTAACAGTACAAGTACTATCCAGTCCTGCTAGTGTTATTTTAATAGCATTAGTGATGACTTTAGGGGCATACTGATTCTGACTTTGAAAGATATTAGTTAGGTCTCATGGAATGTCACTTCTGGAAACCTAGCTTTGCTTCACTATGTTCTTCTGTTTCCTCTCCAGCAATTTCAAGGACGATGTTGAAATGAGCATTTCTTAATGTCTGTGTTACGACTAGCTCCTTGCAACTGATCCTTGTAAGTTAACAACAAGCCTACCTTAATATTTTAGCATTCCACTGAGGAAATCAAGTAAAGTTGAGTGCATAATAAATCACATGAAATGCATGATAAATAGCATGAAATGGAATGGATAATAAGTACATGTTCTTCCAAAGACTGATCATTAAATGCACTGAAAGATCAACACAGATTAATCATTATAATCTACATACGGGCAACGCTTTGTTACTAAAAAGCATAAATATATTACATGTAGTTACAGATCATAGGTACTTCACTGACAATAACACTCCTCTGTTTTCCAGGAGCACCATCAATTCAATATTGCAAGATTGGATACTGGTCTAAATCAACACTACAGCAAAAATTTATTAACTGTTTTATACCTCATGAAATCAAATAGGAGCGATGAATTAGCCTGGGGAGCAAATGATAAAGCTATGCTAATTAAAAGGCATCTATAAATCTGCACTAACAATTTTGTAGTTATTTCTGAAACTCAGTCCAGCTGATCACAACTTGATTTAGTAGGAGGCTTGTATTTTTCCATTAATTCTTGAAAAGTCTATAGCATTCATTAAACATTCTCAGACACAAACCTTGGTGAAATTCTTGGCCAGAAGTTTTCTTGGAGAAAATACAATTCAAAAAGAGCAAAACACTGCATGTATACAGTACTGATTGTATACATACAGACAGTTTCATCCCTTGAACTGTTCTTATAAAAGAAGAATAACCCACAAGTTATGATTTTAAAATATTTAACTTCAACACTTTTGGAATATACTCAGTAAAAAATGCCTTTTTCTTCTAGATTTTATTTCTTAAGTATTCCAAATCTTGAAGTAGAGCTAAAAGTCTGGCTTTGTCCAAAAATGGAATAGTTGACTTAGCAGTTAAAAGGGGTAAAAAAAAGAAAAAAGAAAAAAAAAGGAAGTGAGAAGGATTTGATCCATAATGCTTTCTTTTGCTTCTGATTTTTCAGAGCAGCTAGAATTTTTAAACACCTTCATTACGCATGGCTCTGGTGCTAGTCACTTCATTATTCAGCATCCCCGAGTTAACTCTGCAGATCAGCTGAGTAATAATGAAAAGCTACTGATAATGAGAAAAACAAGCTTGGGAAAGGGGAAAAGTCTCCTGCAGTGCGGATGAGCCTGGCAAGCCGCTGAAGTGCTGCCCTGACTAGTTGAAGTCATCATTTCAAGGCAGGCAAATTCAAAACATGAACTGCAATTAATGGATGTTTTGTCTAAATTAAGATTGCTGGACAGGAGCACAGTATACTAGCCTAAGAAATAGCCCTGTCGGGAAAGGTTTATTTGGGTCTTGTAGCAAGTACTTTTGAAGATCCAGGACTGTGCAGACTGAAGCCCTAACAGAGAAAGTTTCACTGTGTCTAGAGAATATTGCCCTCAGAATGTTTATTCAGATTGCCAACAGGCAGCTTTCTTAGCTCTATTTTGGATCAAATCATTGATCACTGTGCCTCTCTTCTATGTCAAGCACAGTTAGACAGTTTTATTGTTTAAATTTAATGGCCATGTTCATAGCCTTGCCTTTTTACCATTCTCCCTTTTTGACAGCTGGTATGTTCCACTGCCAGCCTCAGCTACCTTCTGTTAGCAAGAAACTTTGTTGTTCTGCCTCGTTTTCCTTAGCTCCTGGATTCATCGCTGGCCACCTGTCCTCTCACCTTCATGAGATAACCTTAAGCCACAAAGACCATCTTATGGCTCTGAAATGCACTGTGAAATCTTAGTCCTGACACGATCCTGAGCATTTTCATAACAATGACAATAATACTGTTGATCTTTTTATTATTAATGAGAGCTGCCAGCTGTGATTTAGCACAAAGGAATTCTATTCTCAGCTTGTTCTTTCTTAACTAAGAAAATTGACTTTATTTAAAACTTTCCTCTTTGCACAGTTGGTTACAATGCCCAGTTTGCAGACTGGCAACTAGCAAAATCACTGAATTGATGGAATGGAGAAAGCTCGAAAAACTTTGGTAGCATACAGGAATGTTAGACACTTACATGTAATTCCAATTTTATACAGCTCTCGGAACTTCTGATTGTAGCCTTCTCCTGGCACATAGTCTCCAAGGCCAATGGTGCTCAGGGAAATAAAACAAAAATAAAAAGATTCCAAAAAATTCCAGTCATCTTCCAGAACAGAAAATATTGCTGCTGGGATGAAGAAAAAGCAGGAGACAGTGATGAACCCAAGGACCACGGCGTGGATAATAGCAACGAGCTGCTTGGAGAAGCCCCAGCGAACATGGAAATACAGCACAGGCCGCCTGGTGACGTACACGATGATGCGCTGCACCACGGCCGTCAGGAAGAGCAGCGTGAAAGGGATCCCGATGACCGAGTAGATGATGCAGAAGGCCTTCCCTCCGTCAGATAAAGGCACTGTGTGTCCATAACCTGCAACGAAACAGAGGAAAGGCATAGAAGACAGCTGAGAATGAAACCGGAGTAGGTGTGTGCCAAAGCTGGGACCGCACTTACCAGTTCAATCCTGGTTGTGTTTTGTGAGACAAAGAACTGCTCCACTACTGCTGAATCGTAACTCTACTATTCTTGACAAGTGCTATTCAAAGGAGGTCTTTTGTAACCAGGCATACAGATGAATTGTTGGTGATTAACAAGTACAACTCCAGAAAAATTTTTGTATTTCAAAATTGTGAATATAATGTTATTAAATCTCATTTTGGAGAAGGAAGTAGTGCCTGGTCAGGAGCAGGGAACCTATGCCAGGAAATGTTTGTTCTATGCCAGGCTTTTCTGTCATCCTTTTTGTTTAGTTTTGCCAAGGCATAGAACTTCTTCCAACCCTGTCAATTTGGACAATATCTACTTCAGAGAAGATGTAGATGTAGTTTGTAGTAAGATACTCTAAAAACTATTTATGAAAAGAATTTAAATTGCAAAGAAGTATTACAATGGGTATTTCACGCTACACATTTCCATACCTCTACAAGGTGTTTAGATGATAATCCACTGAAGATACTTAAAAGCAGACCAAACATTTCTGGAGCAAAAATCTTCATATGTTGCAATTGGACTTTGTCCAGTCATTTATGTATTAGAAATATTAATATTTTCATATTAAAATTTTCAATATAATCCATTTAGAGCATAGACATGTACTGATGTATAGGCTGATCATGACCAGCAATCTCAATTTCACAAACATGTGCAATTACACTTGTATATAGAGAAAGCAGCTACGCTTCCAAGCAACCTATGCCCAACAGCTTGGTTTTAAGAGGGAATCACAGGCACAGAAAAGAACAGTAAATGCAGCACAGACCAGGAAACGTTCTCCTCTCTGACCCACGCCAGGCTGCCCAGCTTGGCACAGGACCAGGCAGCTCCTGAGCACTTCCTGGGACCCTCTGCCTGCTCCCCTGTGAAGGTCAGAAGGTCCTTTCAGGTTTTACATGAGCACAAAAGATTTCCCTTCTAAATTAATGACTTTATTAGAAATACTGACCTTTCAAGTTTTCAAGAAGACTAAACAAAGCAAATGATCTTTTTCCTTTAGATACACAGAGACATTTCTACATAATGAAGGACACGCTAAATGTCTAAATGTCCAACATACAAGTCTTACAAGAATAGATCTGTGAGCAGTAGTTTCCCAATACCAACTAACCCAACAGAAATTTTCACATACATTTGAATTTAATATTACAGATTCATAAATTTATACTCTAGCAAAGACTATTTCTGATTTTGTTCTCCTGTCCATGCCTAATAACACCTAACATTTCTCGCAACTGACTACCAGAAAACCTGGATCTTGCTCTTGAGAGTCATCCATCAGTACAGACCCCATCACTTCATATGTGAAATCAGGATTACTTAAACTGTGCATCACTTCTATCTGCATTCATTTTAAAGTGCCACTTTATTATCTAGTCCGATTGCAATCCTTCCATCATCCTTGCTACCTGAAATAAAATTTAGGGTCTTTAAACTTTGCTATGTCACTGTTCATCCCTTTTTCCAACTGATTTATGAATGTGTTGAATAGCACAGCTCCCAACGCAGGCCCCTGAGGAACACCACTTATGACTTTTCTCTATTTCAAGAATGTCCATTTCCCCCTACTCTGTTTTCTATCTTTTGCCTGTATAAGGACCCATGCTGGATACTTAGCTGCCCAGCTGTAGATTCAAAAGAGAAGATCTGTGCTTTTGAGCTGACCGTAAGTTGCCTATCACTGACTCACGTGACACATGCATGCAAACGCAACTGCAATACCACACCGTAACAAGGTGCCTTCAGTAAGGCAGAACTAGAGGTATAGTGGTTGAAAAGACAGAGATCAATTCCCATGTGGAATAATCAATCTCATTTTGCATATCCAAGCTTAAGAATATTCACTTTGCAACAAGAAAAGAGAAGTTACTGAAAGTATCAAGGGATCAAAGACTGTTCTGGAAGAGGAAGGTAAAAATAACTGGCTTCCTTGGCACAGCTGAATAAGGACTCAAAGGTGATACAGCATCTCCTGTTAAAGCACCATGGAAGAAATGTTTTAGACAAACAATAGAACTGCCAGAAAAACAAAGAACTTTGACATAGCCATGAATAAATTTGTTCTAAAAGTTCAAAAAATGTTTCTAAGCTTCAGAGTGTAGAGTTTTGGAACTGTCATCCAGTTTCAGTAATGGGGGAATACAGCCATGTTTAAGATGAAGCCTGATGAAGCTCGGTAGCAAATGATAACTAACGTGATAAGCAGAAATAGAGCGTGTAGCCTTAAACTCTCCTGAAAGCTAATTTTCCTAAAATTACTGTATGCTTAAGCTGCACAATTAAACTGAACTTTCAGTATTTTGAACCCAAATATCCATACCACATATGCAAAAATAACCAATCAAATAAAACCAGAGCAGGCTGATAACGAGTAAAGTTCAAGCTCTGCTCTATCTTGGGCAGTTATCGGCTCATTTCTTAGTGAGCATGGGCTGCAGTGCTGATACTTCTCTAACACCTTTCTCATAACCCTTCCTGCAGGACAGCCGCAATGTTCCTCCAGGAATGGCCCAGAGTGCACCCACAATCACAGACAAGTATAGGATCAGAAAGCCTGCGCTACAGGGAAACGCGCAGCTAGGCTGGGCTAGGCTGAATGCTCAGCCCAGTCTGCCACTTACCTGGGCTAAGCCCAACTGACAGAAGTAGCTGAGGTGCCTGAAGCAAACGCCACCCTCTACCATCTGCTCTGTTGTTCCCGTGAGGTTGCCACAACACATGAAGGCTGGCTGCAGGGACTGTCTATCTGTTCCTCAGCAGCTAACAGGAAATACGATAAGACAGAGTGTTCCTCTTCGCACACTGAGGAGAAAACACATGCTCAGCTCAAGCAGCAGCAGTACGGGGATGCCATCTTCTAAAAGCAGTGACAAAGTGGCCAGTATTTGTTTGTTATTCCGGATCCAAGCCACTGCTTGGGAACAATTCTCTTGATAAGCTTGAACAGAAAGTCACAATTTATGAGACCATGGCAAGCAATAAGGACACAGACCCATATTTTTTTCCTAGCAGGGAATTGCTTATGTGACTTCTCCTTAAAAAAAGTTTATACATCTTAGCCCTCAACTGTACAAAAGTCATTAGAAAAGAACAGCACAGCCATACACTAGAGCAGAGCAGAGGACACTGGAGAACCAAGGCAGGAGATGCTCTGTGTCAGTGCACAACCACTTTCTCCCCTAGTGCCTCCTGCCTCTAATTTGTACGTCTCCATCTCTTCCTCATGTTGTAACCTCTTCAAGGCAGAGGCTCTCCAGGACCTGTCCACAAAGCGCCCTGCCCGTGCTCATTCCACTAAATATTAAACAGGGCACTCATTGGCCTTGCTCAGCTGAAACAGTCATGCTCAAAAGCACTACAATTGCAGCACTAAGATTCTCTTTATTATGAGAAAAGAATGCTCACAAAAAGGGGACTATTTATAGTACCTTTATTAAAACAACGTCATTTTATTTGACTTTGTTCAAATCAAGGAGTAGAAATGGATAGACTTGTGGGATAGACTTGGATAGGCCCATGTTGCATATCTGATAACTTAGTTACTGATTATAAAGATAGATGTGATTTAGAGACTACTGTATTTTGATATTTAGGAGCCGAACACCAGGTAATAACTGCTCCTTTGAAATCGCTGATGTTTAAAAAATGAACATTTATATAGCCTGCACAAACTCAGAAGCAAAATGACACCATAGACAAAATGGAATTTTACACTTAGATATATAACCCTTTCTACTGCCCATTCACACATTGGCAGTATCTTAAAAAAAAAAAAAAAAAAAAAAAAAAAGCCCTTCTTTCAAGAAATATCACAGAACGAAATATGCGAAGACCAGCAGGAGTTGTCATGTTAAATAAGATCAACACTCCATTTAGCTCAGCCTCCTGAGGCAAACCAGCACTTGATGGTTCATATAAAGAGGAAAACTCCAAAATATATGGACAGTTGGGTTTCAATTCATTTATAAATGGGCTTTTTTGTTGTTGTAGTAAAATCATTTACTCCCCAACTTACAACTTGGAAGACTTCTACTGTTACATGTTCAAATAAAAATATGTAACCTTTATCTTTTCTCATGGAATTTTAAATGTCCCCATCCTACCAAACTGCTTATTTTAAATCACTTAAAACACAAATCTTCATGCCTTGATCTTAAGGCAGAGAGCTATACAGGTCAATTATGCGTTCAATAAAGTACGTTTCCATTTGCAGTCTTTCAAGTAAGTCTCTTCCTATATCTTACAAAAATTCTTGGTCATAATTTTTCTATACTTTTCAGTCTTTGGTATCCCTCTCATGAGATTCATCTTAGAGTTATTTTCTTCTTCTGTCTTCCCTGTATCTGACTGTTCCTGCTACATCAATTTGTGTGGAGAAATACCCAAAACAGGTCATTGTATTCCAGGTAAAAGAGATTTTCTCCCTGCATTTTTTGATATAACACCACATTTTGGTCATTTTCCAGAGTCATTAGGCAGCTCATAATAGTCTATGAGAAGGCCAGAACTTTTATTTTTAACCATTTCACACTAGTCTTCTATACTGCATTTCCTTGCACGAGTTGGTACTACTTTTTTTCCTCCTCTTGTCCTTCTCAGATGGGTCAAAAGCAACAACTAAGTAGTTCTGTATTGTTGTTACTCTGTGTCTCCTCACAGTCAGTCCCTCCTGCAGTTTATTAGGTAACTTACCTTTCTCTTAAGAAACAACAGACTTCTTACAGCTCCTTTTTTAACCCTAAATAAAGCAAGTAGTAGCAAAGGACAGAGGTGCTGCAATTGTGTGTTGTGAGTCCAGGGCTCTGTTACCCAGCCTGGATTCCTACACAGGAGTCCATCAGAGGCTGCCTTGAAGGCAGGTGGTTGTTGTGAAGGGTTTGGATGTCAAGAGAGGCAAGCAAGAGGCA